GGACGGCTAGCGCAGATAGCCCTCGTGTAGCTTTGCGCGAAATTCCAAAACAAACAAACAAACAAAAGGCCTTGTTGACAGAAAGCACAATGCTTCACTTGGCGATATCAATAATTGTTTAAAAAATCTAGAAAATATATTACAGCATTTTTTCTAAAATTTTGGTTAAAATAAATTTAACAACTTGAGTAGGTGTTTTCTGGAGTATATCATACAGGATGAACCATAAATTATATATTCCGGAGAAGTATGATAATTCTGTCCTCCCCACAGTGAGCGAGAAATATTGTATTTTCCATGTTTCTTTCTTCATTTCAACAATTAAAAGTGTGCATCACTACTTTAATCGTGGCTGATCGTCTTGAACTTTGGAGGGTTCAGTATGTCCAGATACCACGTTCGTTGTTTTTTTTTTTGGTACCTAGGTCTCCTTTCCAATTTTACAGAGTCAGAGGTCAAACATTATACATTATAAAAACACAGGTATTAAACCTGCAGTTCTTTTATACTTCTATCAGTACAATTGGGACTTGTTACAAATAAACCTTGCGATAACTCCCACAGATTAAACCATAAGGATTTGGGATTTGCATTTTTCTTAAAATTTTAGAGGTGAAAAAGTGTAAAAAAAATTACAAAGTATGTAACAGTGTAGTACAGGTCAGCACTATGTTCTTTTTATCTCTTTAGGTAAGAATTATTATTTTTCCACAGTTATTGTATTTTCCAGAGCTCTTAATTTGGACTCAGGGAGTCCATTAAGAAATAAAAGATGCAAGTTCACAAATTGTCAATTAACCGGCTTTCTTGCAGGAAAGATGTCCAGAAATAGAAAGTTCTTTTGCCTCTCGGCACATCGGATGAGAGTTAGGGGCAGCCATGTCCTAGGACCCATCCAACTCTCTATGGATCCAGATCTTGAGTATGAAGTGCATTTCGTGAGCAAGCCTAGCTTTGTTAGTGTATTGAGGTAATTGTATATAAAGCAGGGGTGGTTCCTGAAAAACAGAATTAAGAGGTTTAGATGACGGATTATACAAGATTAGGGGGTAACTGAGAGTTTTAGTTACTGTAACAGTTTTCAGTGGAGTAATAATGTTAGATCTGATGTTAACCTTTTGTTATTTTGATCTCTTAAATTGAGTAAGTTTACTTGTGTTTTGCATTATGTATTTTAACTTTTTCTTTCATTTTAACTTGGATAAGTGAATTTTTACTTAAACTTTAGAGACAGTTTTAGTATGTGAATTTTGACATATATTGTTTAGGTTTTAACCAGTAGTTTTGCTAATGTTTTGAGATGCGGTTTAAATTTAATATTGGTTTTGTTTAAATGTAATTTTTTTAACTTCTCTATTCACTAGAGGTTAATTTTCACTGATACGAGCTTTTGAATAGTCTTCACCTTAATCTTATCAGTCTCTGAACACTGCTCTTGTTCTCTTTGGATATTGCATTGTGATTGTGTTTTTCTGCGTAAACGTTTATGTGCTCGTTTTTCTATCAGTGTCGAGTCTTTCTTTTAGAAAATCCCGTCTGTAGACTGGAGAGATCAGTACATTTCATAGTTCGGTGTTCTCCGAACCTAAAGCTAGTGGATCTAACTGATTGTTCTGTGGGAAAAGGATTTTACCGTAAATACCACAATAGGGAGCCATGAATCTAAATACATTGCCTGTATAAGTAAATCTTACAAGGGGTTATTATTTATAGTGTTTTGAGTCACACAACACATAAAATTGAAGATACCATGCCAAAGAATAGGTTTTATTTGCATAAAAGTACCTGCAATTTTTTTGTCATTGTGAATAAATCTATTTATGCAGAAACTTGTTGTCCTACTTATTATATGGTCACAATCTAGTGTGTTCCAATACATCTATTTATGCAGAAACTTGTTGTCCTACTTATTATATAGTCACAATCTAGTGTGTTCCAATACATCTATTTATGCAGAAACTTGTTGTCCTCCTACTTATTATATGGTCACAATCTAGTGTGTTCGAATACATCTATTTATGCAGAAACTTGTTGTCCTACTTATTATATGGTCACAATCTAGTGTGTTCCAATACATCTATTTATGCAGAAACTGGTTGTCCTACTTATTATATGGTCACAATCTAGTATGTTCCAATACATCTATTTATGCAGAAGAAGTCTCAAGCTGATACTGTGCCAAGTGTATATCTCTCTGAACTATATACATGTATATTGTACTTTCTGTCCCGTTCCCCTGCTATGGATACACCTCTCTCTTGAAATCTATTATATTCCGAGAATCTTATCAAATAAGATAAACGGGGCAGACATATTGCATGTGTTTGCGAATGTTGGCTTTTAAAATGTTTTAAAATTTTCATTTGTTTTTGTGAACAGTGTAAAAGCATATATTTCAGAGCGAGAAAAACGTTTCGGTGCTTCAAGTTGAACGTTATTCACATGAAATAAACTTGAAATATATTTAATCGTAAAACAGCTAATATACGGGTCACCTTGTATACAGATATTAAAGAAACACGTTTACTATACCGCTGCCTGCCAAACTTTTATATTAAGTTAGTTTAAGCATATTTATTTTAAGTTGTTTTCAAAAGCAACACTTTTCATATGATATCTACTAAAAATATTACGTGTCATGAACATTGTCGTTTTTAAATTACTTTGTTTGATTTTTTTTTTACAGTGGACCGATGATATTTTAATATATTTAAACTTCTACATTTCTGCAACACTGTTTTGAATGGAAAATAATTAACTAGATATCATATTTCTCTTCCCTACCTCAAGCACCAATATCTTTATTTCTGCTTACCTGATAACAGTTCAGCAAAAAACAACCTAAAACAATATTTCAGACAATGGAAGCAAACTAGAAAGGTTGACATTCATAAGCGAATGCAATCTGTCTTCCCCCATCCACCTAATTTGATAAGATTCTCAGGATACAGTAGATTTCAAAAACGAATGGTATCCAATATAGTGGAAACTACAATATCTGTACTTCAGTGGGATAGACATTTCACACAGTGTCAAGTTGAGATTTCTTTGCAAGGAAGATGTATTGAAGCCAGGACCGAATTTAGACTCCTTGAGGCCCCCATGCAATACTGTGATGCTTGAGATCCATTTCCTAGGTTGATTTAAAATTGAGGCCTCTACTTTGGGGCTTGAGGCCTCTAGACGTTCGAGGCCTTCGTGAAATTGCATGGGTTGCACTGTTTCTAAATCCGGCACTGATTGGAATATACTAAATTGTGACATTATAATACATAGAACAAGTAATGTTTGGGCAAATAGGATCAACTCTTCCCCACGATATATGAAATTTCACGCGCCTGAGAATCAAGACACTATTAATAGCAACCTCTTGCAATGCTTATATATACAGACACATGTCTCTAAATTTAGAGCTCCTTGTAATATATATTGTGATTTTTTTCAACCTTTGACTCCTATATAATGAAAAGATAAGCACAAGTCTCAAATTTGTTAATCTAAATCTGTGGAAGCTGTCGCAATGCATCGTTGTGCAAATTCTCATCTAGACTGGTCGAAATATAAAATAATTATAGGTCAAATCGCTAACTTTGCGATATTTTATTTGTAACTCCTGTAAAATTGCAAGAAAGGCACAAATATGTTTATTTCAGTCTGTGGTAGTTGTTATATTGGTTGAAATATAGAGGAATGGCAAGCCAAAATCCCCAATTCTGCGATACATTTGGACCTCAAATCTATGTACTTTAATCTGCGGGGACTTCTGTAAGATGTTTTTGTGTCATATCTCATTTGGATTGATGGAAATATAAGGGAACAGTGGATCATAATATAATATGTATTTTTTATAATGTTTGACTTTTACTCCATAAAATTGAAACGGGGTACTAAGTCAAAAACATGAAAAAGACATCTAGGCGAATTAGACCAAGATACATGCCCTTTACATTTCAAGATGAATAGCCTAGATTTAAAACAGTAATTCACATTTGTTGGAGAGGAAAAGGAGGAAGAAACATAGGAATTGCAATATAGAATTTGCAGCTGCTTTTTCAACAAAGCTTAGACAATACTTAAACAATTTAGATAATTCATACGAACAATGAAGTCATTATAGCAACTGTGGTTGAGAGGCTTTACAATCATGTCAGTAGTACATGCAAAAATAGTCAAAACAACAAAAGCAGCAAAGATTTTAGTTATCAACTTATTATGATAAAATCAACCAATGCTGCTAGCTTATAGAAACACGGAACATGTCAACAATAATTAAACTAAGATATAAAAAAATTGCTAAAAATAATTTTACAAAAGAGGGAGAAAACACGCTTAAAAATTTTGATATCTTGATATTTCTGTTTTGCTCCTCCTCCGAGTTTTGTCCAACTCCTCTTTCGGGGATTATTACCCTTTATTAATAATCAGAGTAAACAGCTAAGGAAAATAATTTTGAGTTGTAATAAATTATCACTAAAGAATTTTATAATGAAACCGAAATGAAATGCTTATCCCCAAGTAACTATTAGCGGGAATTGACATCAATACTTTATTGATCAGTAATTATAGAATATAGTATTATCAAAATTAATTCAATTTAACAACACATTTCTCATGCTGACTCCAAGATTAATACATGAGTATACGTACCTTCTAGAGTACTGTCCATATACTCCAGAGGTAGAAGACAGCCATCCATTGTATCTAGAGGGTCAAGAAACTCTTGTACTAGAATACCTTGGCTTGAATTACTGCCACCACTGCAGGTATCATCTCCGCTTGCTTGGCGTGAGCTGTTCCTCCAAGCATTTTCTGATCCTTTGTGAGCAATTAATCCGAGGGCCAGCAGCCATGACCGGGCACTCAACTCATCCTCTGCAGCCATTAGCAAGGGCATTTTCCCTTGACATACCAGGACTAAACCATAAGGAAATCTTCGAGAGTCAGCAGTGAACCCTACATGAACAGCTTGTGTTAGATCTAAGACCAAGTGAGGCTCATGGGCTCCACACGAGGGCTTTGCAGCTTCTTCAAGGGAATTCCACATTTCCAAAACAGGTCCTCGATCATGAATCTCATCTCGTAAGATAAAGTAGCGCTTGTGCCAAGCCTAAGTATGGAAACAATAGAAATGGATAAGAAATACAACAAAATTATTCAAAAAGTAACTTATAAGCTAATGAAGATGATCTCATACAGCAAACTGACCAGAAATAATTAATGTTATAAATCAATAAATCAAAAAGTAAAACCCATATTGATTAAAATGGATTAAATTATTGTTTTATTAACCCAATTGTTAATCATATTTTTGGGCTTAATTTCATAACAAATGGCCAGCTTACTAGATTTAGATTAATCTAAAATCTAATCAATCGTATCCTAGTCATTAGTGTGCCAAGCTGTGAATCAGAAGGCTCATGGTTTGTGACATAATGTCATCTAGCACGTTTCACATTTTCAGCTGTTGGTGCATTATAAGTTCAGAATGCTGCTGACTAGTTGCCTTTCTTCTGATCAGTAGTTCAATATTCAAAATGGCTATGCATGAATTATTTAGCCTATGTGCACACATGAGTTATTTATATTGAAAATATCAAATTCAAACACTAACCCTAAATGCCCATACTAAGCTAACGATATGAAATAAACTTCATGAGTGTAACACGAATATGAAAAATGTTTTAAAAATGCATTTTAAACTTTATAGAAAATAAGATTCAATGAAGCTAACTATAAAAAAATATCAAATACGCTATTACTTAAGGGCCGCTTATTTTATTATTACCCTAGTCTTATTTTACCCCGAAGTACCCAGAGCTCTTGAATGTTAGCATAACAGCTATGATGAATAACTGGTAGAAAAACCCTGTTTGAATGAAAAATTGGTTACAGAGCAATCCCAATACATGTATTTAGTAATTAGAAGCCTCTGAGATCAAGAATAAAACTGCAACTTTTAGCAACAACTGAAGAATCAAGTATTTTCAATATGAATGTTTACTAGCTATGAACGTGTGACGACCTAGTTTTTTCCATTTCCTTAACTCAATATCGAACGCATGGCCTTTCTTACCCGATGTGTACTTTACCAACTAAGCTAAAGTATTAACTCATGAAACTTCTCAGTAAAGCATTTTTAACAAGTCGGACAACCACATTCTTCCCCTCTCATGAACAAGGCTTGTCCTCAAGCCTTATCCTATGGTTATGAGCATCAGTTTATGGTATTCTGACTTTTTTCCTTTTCTTGCGATCTAACTCACATCAAACAATCATCCTAATAAATGAACTGAAAGGCTAACCCTCTTCTAACAGCTAGTAGGGCACTTTTGGACAAACAAAACTACCATAAAATTAAGCACTATCACTTCAGTTGTTTTTATGTTTCAAGAAAAAATGTCGGGGAAAATTATTTGTACTAAGAACAATATATCCTGAGTAACTTGCTGTAAAACTAAAGAAAAAAAAAAGATTTAAATATGTTTTAGGGGACAGTAGTTGTTTGTTTTTGAATTTCGC